TGCGACGTTGATCTCCCAATCACGGCACGAATGTATGAATGAGGTGCCGGGGCCATTGCAACCATCAGATCCAGAATAAACCCAAGTATCCATCTGAAGCCACAGGGAACGTAGAACCGTATGAATCAGAGGACCCCTGGCCAACATTTCCCATGTGTGTTTGTTTGCTGCTGCTGCTGCTGCTGCTGCTATACTGCAGGACATGTGGACAGGCCAGGAAAAAAGGAAAGCAGGCGAGGAGAAAAGCAAGAAAAGGAAGCATGCAAGCAGCCCCGTGAAAACCAAGAAGGAGGCCCCCCAGGAAGAGGAAGCCTTGGATGAAGAGGGAGCAGAAGAGGAGGAGCAACAGGAGGATGATCCAGAGGTCGCCCCCACCCCGGCTCCGGCTTCCGAAACCAAGCAGACCAGCGAGCCGGTGCAAACCCCAAAATCCGAAGCAGCCCCTCCGAAACCAAAGCAACCCTCCCAAGAGGATAGTAGGCCGAGGCGGCTCCGCGCCACAGCTGGCCCAGTTGAAGGTAGCCAGGCTTCCAGAGATCCCCCCCGCCACGATTTCCTCGCAGATGCTATCATGAAAACTATAGCCCTACTCTTTGTCACTGTTGTCAGCTTCATTGTAGCTTCCGTGAACAGATAGTATGAATGAGCTTTCACTCAGCACTCATCTCAGGATGATGCAATGCCGCCCGCTTTTGCTTCTTCGTGCAAACGTGGAACCCTGGCAGCCCTCTCTGATGTAGTACGAGGACGAGCTTCGGTTTCTCTTTTTCGAAAGACGTCGCACACAGTTCATGTATAGTTCGTTCTGCATGAAGCTTTGCAGTAGGGTGGGTCTATTGTCTACGGTGTCCATCGAGCTACCTATATACCTATATCTATCTGTCTGTCTATCTATCTAGCATAGCTATATCTATCTGTCTAAGATCTATATATAAGATCTATAAGATCTATGTATCTGTATCTTTCTACACTCTATAGAATATCTACACCCATGCCTGTACCTGTATCTTTGCCTTGTTCCAGATCTATGTCTACATCGAAATCTGTGCCTATCTAGATCTAAATCCATGTCTATCTGTATTTCTCTCTGCACACATAACACTCGATCCCAGACTATAACTTACACATCACCCATATCTGACTGAAATCGCTCAATGCTGGTTCATCCACGTGTCAGGAGCAGCCGCAGATGATTGGGCGCCGCCGTATTGGGACTCGGACGAGGATGAGGATGCCACCTGGTTTAACCCGAAGCTTAAGCATTAAGACCCGAAGCCCAAGCAGCCGATGCAGAAGCACGAAGAGCCCAAGGTGGAAGAAGCGAAGCAGAAGCAGAAAGGGCCCAAGCCCAAGCATCCGAAGCTGAAGCACGAAGAGCCCAAGCCCGAGCAGCCCAAGCTGAAGCACGAAGAGCCCAAAAAGCCCGAGCAGCCGAAGCTGAAGCACGAAGAGCCCAAAAAGCCCGAGCAGCCGAAGCTGAAGCACGAAGAGACCAAGCCCGAGCAGCCGAAGCTTTCGTCCGGCCCAGAATATGAAAGTGGTTGGGATGCAGGGTCTGGGCGAGCCTGGAGGAAGGCACTTTCTAAAGGCCGGTCAGGTCCTGTGGAGTGGTCTATGGATCCAGAGGTGGACGAGAGCAGGGATCCTTTGGATCCTATTGTATGTGTCTTTGCTGATGGGATGGCAGTGGAAATTCCTCACATGACACAAGATGCTAGGTCTGGACTAATACCGGCTGTGTTTGTCTTCTTTCCAAGCATATCCCCGCAACATACAGTTTGCATTACTTTTCGATGTGTGTCATGCACCATATATGCCATATACGATAGCCCGAACCTAATCACAGATCAGCTGCCTCACTGTGTCGAGCGAGTGTGCAGTGCCTCCAGCAACTCAAGTCTCAACATAAACCTGGAACCCAAATAACAACCTACCTTTGGAAACCAGGTCTCCGAACATTCTGTTTGCCAAAGCCATAGTTATCCCAAATCCAAGCAGCTTTCGACGCCCAGGAAGATCTGGCCGCCCGCATGACGAAGTCGCAGAAGAAGCCGAAGGCAGCTGCACCTTCGGCAAGCAGCAAGGCAGGAAAGTCCGAGGAGAAACCAGCAGCCAGCAACAGTGGCAAAGCCGAGCAGGGAGAAGATAGCGAGCGAGAAGCCCCAGATCCCAGGAAGAATGACAACCCACTCATCGCGGAACTCATGGCAGATTCAATCATACCTGGGGAAGGGTTTGAGACCAAGGTTCAATACAAGAAGCAGTCCAAGAGGAATGCGATTGTGGCTTTGTTCTACAAG